ATTTCATATTTTGTAAGCATTTATGAGTTTTTGATTAAGAAACTCAACGATTTCAAAACAAGCAATGGCAACACTCTACGGGGGGGCAACATTTTTATCTCCAGCGCGCGAGACTATGTATCGGAAATTCCAAATATCTGCTCTTTTACATATTGTGTGATATTGCTGTTGAATTGAATGTTATGGTTTATGTGCAAAGAACACGATATTTATTAAATGAAGGTAACAGACAAAGCGTTACAAAAATTTATTTTATTTATATATTTTTTCTTTAAAAAATTAACACAGAATTCCTCTTTAAAGTGTTAGATTGTAAACTAAATTTTCCAGATTAAATTTTTTTAACATGAAAAATCAGGATATTATTGTTTTCACTAAATTAATTTTCGTGTCTTGGAAAAACATAAATCATCCGCACTTGCGTTATTTATATTTCCGGAATTGCTGTAAACTTCTTGCACGGCCGATCCGGTGAAAAACATTCGCAGCTATGTCTTGAATAATTTAGTGTTTTCTTTGTTAATAAAGCGTTCATTTACGAGGAAATATTATAACAAAAAGGACTTCCCCCTCCCCTACCGTTAGGAGCTATAACCTTGAACAATTCATTTTATAGTAAGTTGCGCGATTTGTGTCTTGAACTTCTGGACCACCTTTAGATTACGATTAGGCGACCTAACTTTTAAATTAATAGGCTTATTATAGCTGTTTAGCTTCAAACTATCTTATGCGCTCAGCTGAAATCTGAATACAAAGATAATATTATAAGAAGGAGTTTCATGTTTAATTTATGTTAATTCTTGTTTTCGCATGCTCCCTCATTACATAGTTTCTACACATGGGGTGAAATTTTCTAAATATTAGATAAAGCAGTACACAAAAGCTACGCAATGTAACAATTGATAGTATCATTATTTTAATTTTTCGACGAAAGTGGCAACGTGCAAATGTCCGAAAACGAAAAAGAGTCCGCGAAAATAAAATTTGGGGAAAAAATTAAGAAATAGCAATTCCCAAATGGGAAAGTGAAGGTATACAGATTTACAGTATAAAAGCCAAGGTAATCTACATTTTTAAACAAAATTTTAATTAATTGTGGAAGTCTGCAGAACTTGTATACTTAGAATTACTTCTGTTTGTCGGAAATTAAAACTGCATATGTATAGGACATCAGAAAACGTTGCGCTATCTTTATTTTTGCCGGTAAAACTATCTAGAAGAAATACATACTAGTAATATAAAATGCTGCCAAAAATATTTTTTTAAAAAAATAAAATGCATTTAAAATTTTAACAGTTGAAAGCAATGAACACCCTGTATATACAGTGCACACTGTATATACAGGATGTTCACTGTATATACAGAGTTAAATGCTCCTTAAAAACTAAGACATCACTTTTTTTTTTTTTTTTTTCTCTAATATATGTAATACTTTTTCATGAGAGGTATGTAGTAGAATTAAAACACATGCAAACAAATATATTCCAGAATAAATATTTTAAAACACATTTTAACCAAAATCAGAGACAATAAAAATTCGGTATGATAGGAAAATATTAAAATATGTCACTTTTTAACCCATCTTAAGAAGGCACCGCCTTTTTTTTTTTTTTTTTTTTTTAAAGAAGAAAATATATTTGAAAAACTGAATTACATATAAAACCCTGCAGGCCTCAACAAAATTTACGATTTAAAATCTGCAATAAGAATTATGAATCCCTGTTTAAGAGCTGTCAAGAAAAGTGTCAAGTTCTCCAGAACTAATATTTTATTAATGATAAGAAACGTCTGTAAATTCGCTGAATTTTTTCCCCCCATTACACTGTATCACATTAAGTGCACAAGCGCAAAAGCGTTTTCTTATTTAAAAAAAAAAAAAAAAAAAAGAAACATAACTATTAACAGCGTGCGAAAAACTTCGGCGTAATTACTCTTGTAAAGTTTATCTCACGAATATAATTTATCTTCTTCCATAATATACCGTTTTTCTTTCTCAAATCAACTTTAACTTCAGTTATAAGTTGGATAAAATAAAACCTTCAGTTTCCTAAGACTGTAACATAATATTTTCTTAAACAAATTACAAGTCAAGTTCCAGAAGTAAAAGATTACCTAGATTTATTGCTGTATTTATTAAATTTTTAAAAAAAATCGGAATTTATTTTTTATTGTCATTTATGAAATACCCTTATATGCGGTCAGGTCGTAAATTTACAATCCCTTTTTTCAGGGGGAGAGCAGACAAGGAGCGGAAAATCTCGCTCGGGATCTTAAGAAATTGTGGGGGTTGTTTAAACATCTAACTTCTCTACATTAAGTTTTATACAGAGGAAAATACAATTGAATTCTTCGAATGAATGCAATTTGTACCAATGAAAATGTATTACTTAACGATAAACTGTAAGATAAATAACATCTTTTTTTAAAAGCCATAGTGTAGAAAGACAGATATTTGTTACACGAATGAATTGTAGTAAATATTGAAGTTTTTCATTTTCGAATGCTATGTTCCACGTATGCGAAGTAGCTGAGTATGTGAGATAATAGTCATAACCAAATGGCCTTTCAACCTTTTCACGTCTAAAGGACTTTTTTTCAAATTACATTGTGGTTGCTGCTTTTTGGTTAATTTTCTAATGACATATACACATTAAATTGTTTTTAATTTGAGACTTGTGAATAAAATAACACAAACTAGACTGCAGAAAATTCATAAGAATGAAGTTGAAATAATACTGAGAAATACATTATTAATGCACTTTTGTGTTTTTATGTAGTAGTATTAACTACTACTATAATCCTTAAACGGAATCCTTAAATTATATAATCTATATGTATAGGGATATATAAATGGAAACCAAATATAGAACAAGGTATAAAATATCTTATTATACAATGTTCATTATAATACGTATATTTACGTAATATCAATATAAATAGTTAGTTAGGTTTCGTACATATATAATTTATTTTATATTTTGTATTTTTTGTATTAGATTCAGTATTGTATACGTATCTGAAGTTTAATTTGTTCTCTTTTTGGGTTACGACTTTAAGTGAGAAAGAATTGTTAGGGCCTTCATAGAGATTACATTATATACAATCAGTTAGGATCCGACTTTTCCTTTCTTTTAATCATTATATATATTGAAATATTACTTAACGAGTATACATAAAATATAGCAGTTTTTAAGCTACTTATTTATATATCTATTGTTTGGTCTTGTTTGTTTGATTATAGCAAAGCATTCGACGGTTATTTGCATAAGGGTAAGGGTCCATCGTGGAGAACTTTCTAAGCAAAACTGACTCTTATGCACGTTACACGTGGGGAAAACCTCGAAAACGCCAATACAGCCATCCCCGTCGATCCGGATTCGAACCCTGGATCGACCTGCCAGAGTTCAACGACTTTACAGCTCAGCCGCTAGTGAGCCACACACACATCCACACATATACATTAAATAGTATTTACATTAATAGTTTATAAAGTATAATTGAGTGCAATTTAATCATAAAGAGTTAGAAAATATTCTACGGAATTACTTCACTTCGTAGACTTTTTGTTAAGCTTCACCATATTTCTTAAAGAGAATCTCAATGCTAGTTCCCTTTCCAAGCTGTTTATGTACCTATTTTTCATGCTTTGAATTATATTTAGAAAATTATTTCACTTGGTTATAGCTGAAAATGCAGTTTTTTTTATTGAATAATTTAAGGATAAGAAGAGAATTATGCCCTTTTCTAATTAATTATTCTTGAAGCATTTAAATTTTTTTAAAAAAAGCGCACATTAATACGGATCACTGAACTAAAGTGGTCGACACAGGACAGATGAAATAAATAAAAGAATTACAAAATGTTGCAAAAATTACATAAAATAGCGAATAAATTTATTCGGCACAAGCTCGCTAAATGTAAAACAGATTGTACAGTCAGAAAGCTCGCCCTGTCACAGAAATATACTGTTCATTGGGTTTAAAGGTTATTCAGACTAACGTGCGAAGTTCAGTGAGTAACTTGTATTTTCCTTTGAATGTATAAACTAGCCAAAAAAATTGAGCACTTGACAATTAGATGCAAATTTAACAGATGGATTGAAGGAACCCTATTGCAACGTACCACTTTGTGTAAGCATTTTCGTGGATTTCTTATGGTTATGTAAATATGAGCCCATTTTTCCTTAGAAAATTCTCCATGAAATCATGCCTAGCCAACCCTCATATGTTTTGCCATATTCAACACAAAATCATTCTTAAGATGATTAATTAATTAATTTTATGTTAGATGATACGAAGCTTTTCAAAAACTAGGATGCTTTCCGTAAACAATTAGTATTAATAAGCGCTGTTCAACTGGAATGAATTGGGTTGGATTATTTTTTATAGTAGTGCTTTTCAGCCGACTTTACATCTACCTGATGTATTGCTCATAGGGGGATGGAAGGAAATTCCTGAACGAAAACAATGTAATAATGAAATGTTAATAAACAAATAAATATAACTTTTCGTATCGTATGTAATTTGTCTCCATTCTGATACCATGTGCATCATTTATTTCTGATATACTGATACTGAATGAGACCTAAAAACACTTTTTTTTTAAATATATCTCCCCTTATGATCCCTGACACAGCCGTTTACTTTCCCCTTCCGTAATTAACGTCAGTCTCCTGCTCTTGACCGCATTTGCCAAGCCACCGTCATTTATACCGAGGAAAACTAAAATTAAAGCAAAGAAAAACACTAAAAATATTAATAAAAAAATACAGTTGGCTTTATATCTCAGCTAAACCGTCAAAGGTTTTAAAAACTTGACTGCAAAAGTGGCATGTATTAAGAAAATATAACTTTTTATTTACTCCTAAAAGCCTTAAATTTGCCAAAACTCTTAATCACAACAAAAAAGTAACTTAAAGCAGTTCCGTTTTTTAACAAAATATTACATAATATTTTATTAGCAATTAAAACGAATAAATTTTATAAGCAGCATTTAAAAATTGAAAACTGATTCCTTTCAAGAATAATAAACAGTAAAAGAAGCCAAATGAGTAATTTATAACTGTTCAGAAGTACAAACAATTAACTTAATTGTAAACATTTTAAAAATAAAAAATTCCTTCAAGCAGCAACTTCAAATATTCATTACAAACCAGTATTTTAAATTAAGCGACATATTAACATAACTATAGAAAAAAAAAATTCTTCATATTCTTTCTTATACATCAAAAGCAGTATATCTACACATACAAGGACAGTACATATAAAACATCTTCATGTTATTTTTTTTTATTGCGTAACTACAGTAAATATTTTGTTTTATTAAATGTTATCTTTATTGTTTTAAATATTGCTACACAGATAATTACACAATAAAATACCGAAAAAAAAATAATGAACACATTTTTTTTTAAGTAGCTTTTCTTTAAGCGCTTTAAATATTTCCCATGTGATCTCTTTCTTAGAAAGTTTGTGGTCAGTGCAAAATGATCCCTTCACTCTGGCAGTGCTGTAAGCAGCAAGTACTTCGAACAATACATTCTCATAGTGATGGAGTAAGCCTAACGGAAGCTCGTTCGAGACACCTCCGGTTAAATATGTACCCCGAGCACGTGGTCACCGCGGATTGCTCGCCGGCTAGGAGAAACCGAGAAAAGACCGCACTCACCTTGGATGAAGAATCGCGGCTGACGGTGCTGCTCGTCGAAGGCTGGTCTATACACTCACTCACATCACCAGACTCATGAGGGCATTCAGCCATGCTACAGTGGTCCGAGCCTGTCTACACCCCGCTGTACGGCATTTCGCTGACGAACGAGGAGGAAAAAAGAAAGCGGCGGTGCTTACACTTTCCTCACGTGTTCAGCTGCTGCATCGCGACATCTGTGACTGGGCCGTGTGGGTGTGGGTTCGCGGAACTACAGCCGCTCAGCTGAGAGAACGCAGCGAGCACCACTGCCCGGAATGTGCGACGAATGTTTCGAGCGCGAGTTGACTGTTTCCTTCGTATAGAGTGGAAGGAACTTCGGCATGCGTTCTTTCTCTTATTTTCCGCCTCTTGTTTTAAATTTCAGAAACAGTATTTTCTCCTTGCGCAGTGCTGGATTTTATCGGACGACAAAAGCGAAAAGAGCTTATCAATTGCGGGCGAAATGAATCTGTTGAAACACGAATATAACTAATAACCTCAGCCGTTACTTCATATTCAAATTATAATCTCAAAACTGTACCAGCAGATGTCTTCCAAGTACAGCAGACCACTGAGGTCGAGAGTACAGAAACTTTCACCGAAGTTTTCAAAATAATTTGTGTTGCATCTCAGAGCAAACACACAAAACTTAATAGCCTGACCTAACTTTTAAAATTAATCTAAAATTAGAAACGGAAATAAATTTAATGTACCATGTACGATATTAAACAAGCGTTAGAAAGAAAGAAAAATTCTCTCTTATATTAAGCAAAACGATTGCGGAGAAATTTTTGTTACTGAATTTAGATCTTCGAAAAGTAATAATAAATTAGGAATAGTTCTTTCTTCTCTTCCGGTGCGCAAGTTTGCATAGCAAACTTTTACATTAAAGAATACACAGAAGCTATACTCAATTTTCCTCCCACATTATGCCTCATTTTGCATGCATTTTAAGATTTTAAAATCCCGCGATTCAAAAAAAAAAAAAAAATTGGAATGCATAGTACTTTTCATTTGTAAATCTGGCTACTAAAAATCCCAGTGAAGTTTCGCTGTGCGTAAAACGTCCGACAAGTAACTCAGTGGGCTCAAGAATTCGCGATGCACCCGATGCGAGGTTACACATAGAAAGCTCGGCACACTGAACATAGCTTGCAGTTCAGAGCTTGCAGAAGGTTTGCAGAAAATGCTTGCACAGTTATTCCTGAAACATGCGATTGAAAAACGGTCCTCCTTACTGTAATCCGCAGACTTTCATGGAGTATTCCTGTGCTGCACAATTTGGAACTCGAAGTGTAAACCACGAAATTAATTTTATAAATGCATCCTATTACTACGCTCAGCCTACGGAGCTTACAGTGTTACACATTCTGCGCAGTAGTAATGCATACTTTTCCTCCAGGTCTGGCTGATGACGTCACGCCCAGGATTTTCCCCGGGCTCGCGGGATGCAGGTGATGCGTTTTGTGCTCGCATTGAGCAATATTTGTTATAGGGGAGGCAGCGTAGAGTCTTTCGAAGGTGCCAGAAAAAATTGAGATTTGTAATTTGTATAAACCCTACCTGTTCAAAATAAATAGCAAAAATCTCGCAACTCATTACAGTTAAAGAAGTTAAGAAGATCGGATGTCCTAAGTAAATGAAGTCGATAGACATTTCCATTTCACGTGGTTACCTCTGCATCATCAGCGAGTGAGTAAGGTTTTTTTAAATTTTGTGAGCTCCAAAATTAACCGTTTGTCGTTTAACATTCTTATAGGTGTACTAATGGTATCACAGAAGGATATACATTTTTTCAGACGTCCGAAATAATTGTTTTGAGTGAGCATGATAAGTAACCTTTTATGCCTGACTAATAGAATGGAGTCGCCTTTGGTCGGTTCTATTATGCGATCTCCCCTTGAAATATTTTATATTTAACTGTTTAAAAATATTTTTCAGTTTGCATGATCTGTAGCTTTAGCACATTATGTTTCGTAATATATTGGATCAGAGATTATTGCAGTAGTTAAGTATTTCAGTTTTATTTGTTTACACCATTATTGCTAAAAAAGCCCCAGCCTAGCCGCACGTGTTCCAGTGACCTACTTTTCTGCAAGCTCTGCATATCTGATTAAATGGGTTTTATAAATAACTTCGCTAGGGCCAGTGTCCTTTTTTATTGAAGAAGCTCAAAATGTCTTTAATAAAGTGTGCATCTTTTCTCTTTGGCTTTGTCTCCAAAATTTGAGTAATATTTAAGATCCATATTTGTAATATTTTTGTATTTTCATAAATTTGCTTTCACTTTTTTTGCAGGGAGCATATTTATATGAATCCTGCTAATGTGTGTACATTTGCAAATTTAAAATGCAATAATACCTTTCATTAGCAAAAAGTTTATGCAAGACCATCGATCAAGTTACCATACTTTTTTAACACCCCCCCCCCCAAAAAAAATATAGTGCTTAACAGAATTTGGCTTTTCCTCCCGTGATCACGTTTTAAAAATTTTCGCGTAGTTTGTCAAGATTTTGATTGAATTGTTTAGAATTTTTTTTTTTTTTTTTTTTTTTTTTTTTTTTATTTTAAATGAGTAGAATTAGAAAAGAAAAAAAAAAAAAAACTTGAAAGTAGTGCAATAAGGCTATGAGAAATTTCTGCAAAAAAGATTGTTTATTATTCCTTGTGCGCATTTATTCTGATTTATAAATATTTCCAACATTTTGTTTATTAATTCCGTTATGCACATCTAACCACTATTAAATAAATCTGACAAATTTTATTAAATGAACCTTTTCCTGCTAAATATCCACATGAGGTTCTTAGGTTTCTCATATTGAGTTTGACTTAGAAAAGAAAGAGAAAAGGAATTGGGCGATTTATATGAATAATATTCCCCCTCCCCAGTTTTGCTACCTCTGTATTCATTAAATTGCAATTCTGATGAGCTTTTATAGGGAAAATATGTCAGAAGCAGTTTTACTTTAGTGGACTACAGTGTTGGTTCATTGTAAAAAACAGTGTAAATACATTTATTTCGCAGAAAATAATGGAAGTGTATTTTTTGCTATTAATAAAGATTTGTAAAAAATTACAATATGAAGATTGTGTAATAAATTTGTTGAAAAAAATCAAAAATCTTGTTTCCAAAGAAACACATATTGGAGTTGAATCATCTGTTAGTCTTCAATGTATTTGGTAAAAAAATATAAATAACTGCTTTGCTTGTGTGTATTTCAGAGTAGAGTATATTTTCAGAGTAGCTGCAATTGATGATAATGATGAAAGCTGAAAATGTAAAATGCTATGACTATTTTAACATTGCAACATCTGTTGACATGATTAATTTGTACTTATTTCTACCAAAAAGGATGATAGTTCTAAAGTTAAATATGTCCTGAAAATTTTCATGTATTCGTAGTTTAACTGATGCTTAGTTTTTACTAAACAAAAAAGTTAGCTTTAAGAAAAAAAATATATATATCATTGAAAAAGTGTTATTCACTTGCTAAAAAATCTCTGAAACTATGTTAGAAATTCAGCATCAGTCTTAATCACCTCTGCTTTTTTCTAGACCTAAAATATAAATTTATATGGCTGAGCTTATAATATTTTGTCTTCCATCCTAGAACTGTCAGATTATCATGTATCTCCATTGACATAGCCTTCTTTTCCTTTATTTTACCTCTAATGGGAGATTTATCAACATCTTTTCATATGATGTAGCCTTTATGGTCTTTGTTCAGTAGCATGAAACTAGCCTTCTGGGAGCTGTGGTTGTGCATATTATGACTTAGCTGTATGTTTTAGCTAGGTTTGCTCACATTTTTAATGACTGGTATGAATGTATTATATGAGCTTGATAAGAACTATATTAGCAGAGTCCAGATCCTGCTCTGAAGCAGAGGAAAATGAAATTGAGGCTGAGTATACTTAATAATACAATTTCAAGTTTTTTGTTGCTTATCTTCTATGATAGCCATAATGCTGATTTAAAATATCTTGACTATTGCTCTGATCTTCTGTTCTGTTAACAGAAAAGCTAATTCAAATTGAGCCTTAGTGCATTTGTTTCATGATAATTGAAAGCTATGTTGTGAAAAATTTTTGGTGAAAAAGGGTAACATTAGGATGTCTGGAGACACATAAGAAGGAAAGTTCTGTAAATTTATTGTTCAGAGTTCTGAAAGTACTACTGCTCCAAATATTCTTAAAAGACAGAAAATATATATATGTGTGTAACCCCCTTAAGTCAAGACTGGAAAAAAAGCTAAAACTGCTGAACGTCAAATCAATGATGGTTCACTAATTTCTAAGAGGTAAATTTATCATGTAATGTAAGTCATAGTTATGAAAAAACGTGTATTCTAATAAGCTCCAAATCACTTTTCATGAATTATTTAAAACTAAAAATTTGTAAAAAAGATAACCCCAAAAAATTCAAATTGTGTGCTCCTTCCCTTTTCATAAATCTGCTATTGTCATAACTTTGGTAAAGAAATCAGCAAAACAGTTAAATTGCTCAAAGATTCTGTTGCAGGTCAGAAATCGCATCAAGAGAACTGAGATTGTTGCTGAATAAAATAAGCTTGGGTTATTTGAATATAGTGAAGTACATATGGGCTGTCTACATAAGGGAAAGAATGTGTTTGTGGATGACCTTTATAAGGGAAACTGGCCTCATATTTATGTAACATATGAGGAAAACCAACTATGCATTCAGGTCATTTACCTGGTATCAAACTACCAGCATTGAGAAGTCTTAATCACTCAGTTACTGATGTGGCCAATCAAATAAATAAGGTTCAAAACTATTGTAGCACAGAGCAGTAAAATTTGCCTTTAACCTTTTCAAGACCAAAACACTTGAGATGGCCATTAATTCAAATGACTGTTGTAGCACAACATAATAAAACTTGCCTTTAACCTTTTCAAGACCAAAACTCCCAAGACAGCCTTTCATTCAAATGACCGCAACCACCTGAAATAGTCCAGATTGTGATGTTGTCTTCCCTCCCTCTCAGGTGTGCAGTGCAGGTTCCCCAGTGCATTGTATCAGTTTATTGCAGACAGCTTGTTCTAAAAGGATTTATTTGTGTTTATTATTATTATTATTATTATTATTATTTTATTTTGTTAGGTAGTAAAAAGGTTGTCATGTGAAATCTTTGCACCTCTTTGTGTGTTAGTGGATGGGGAGGGGAAGAAATTGCTCTGAATCTCATTTCAGGTGTTTCGATATTTTAAGGATACAGGTTAGTAAAACCTTGTTTTCTAAGGATTAACACAGCTTCTGTATGCATTCCAGGCTTTATTTGCCTGATGAAATCAGATATACACTTTAACATATTTTTATTTCCATATTTATATTCCAGAAGAATATGTCCATCAAGATAGTTTTGAGAAACGTGTGTGATGGCAAAAGAAACGGGACTCCAACTGAGACACTAAAATTTTACATGTTGCTGAGGTAAAACAAGTTGCTTGATGCAGAATAGATACCATGTCTTGAACTAACCAGAAGCAAAGTAGGTTTGAAATTTTTCAATGTGAGAAAGCTTATACTATTAAAGATCAAATTTCTTCTTTTCAGCCAGAAAGAAGAAACAACTGTTGCAATGCTCTACCATTACCAAAATTTTGGCCATAAGCACCTTGGCTATTATAGCATGTCATTTTACTTCAAATGCATGGAAAATTCCTTCTTCATGTTGTTGTTATCAAAAGAAGAAAAGCACTTTGAAGACCACCCAGCAAGTCTGGGACATGTTCCTAAATTTCCTCGAGTGATAGCCAGTGGTCATTATAGACCATCTTCTAGTGTGGAAAGCCTGTCACTCATATTGCAGATTGTAATTTAAATTTCTGATATCCCTACTGAGGGAAATTCATTGTTTAAACCACACGATTGCACATGGTCAAAGCCGCACTGTTGACCTACTCTGAATGCGGAGTAATGCTAACATTCCTTGGAAAAATATTCACCGACTTGAATGTTGCAAAATTACAACTTCCGAAGTTTAAAATTTGGCTGAAAAACTGTAGAAATATTAAAAAAAAACTTCAGTTTAGAAACCTAAAATATACTTTTCTGGTTGATATTATGTTTTTTTTTTTTTTTTTTTTTTTTTTTTTTTTGTAATTTATGTCCATGCACTGTATGAATACTGAATATATGTCCCAATTCTCTGCACTATATTGCAATTTCAGAGTTGCCTATAATTTCCTTGAACTGGCTTTTTAATCATCGGACATTTCTCTATTTTGTTAATTCATCTCTCTCTCTTTTTTCATTTCATTTCATTAAAAAATCTCATGAGCTTTCCAGTATCATGGCCTATATGATACCATATCCTTAAATATACAAAAGCCAGCATTTGAAATAGAATTACCATCATGTATTTGCATAATTTCCTTGAACTGGCTTTCTAATCATTGGACATTTCTGTGTTTTGTTAATTCATCTCTTTCTTTCATTTCATAAGAAAAAATCTCATGAGCTAATAGCCAGATTAGAGAACAAGGTGCTGGCATTGGATAGAAGTAAAGCAGCGTTAAGACTGAAACTAATGGCCCCATCACTTCTATGGACTCACGCACTTACCCGGGACAATTTCGAGAAATGTTTCGTCTAGCTAGGAGGAACCATGGAGGTAAGAAAGAAGGAGTGGCCAACCGGCACTAGAAGTGAAGCACTGCTTCGAAGCTTCGGTCACCAGATGGGGTGTTCTTTGTTTACATTCAGAAGCTCGCTTGACAGTGTTCTGATAGTATTTCGACACACGACAGTTCCATACAAATAAAAAAAGGGACACTTTCGCATGAAAGAAACATTCGTAGTGTGATGGATAATAGCTATTTGTATAGTTTAGTGACATTTACGCAAAAATCACATCTTGATTATTTTTAGATAATTAACAACAGCGATTTCGATTATGAATTTGTTTTATAAAATTCTAAGCTGTTGAACTACAAAAATATAAATTTTAACAAAAATGTTATGCTTAAAGAATGAAACTTACGGTACTTTTAAAATTGTGTACGTCTTTCGATACCCTTGATAGAGTATTCGCTACTTTTATTTTATGTTCCAAACGGCAAAATGTTTTAAATAAAATAATTTTTTTTCACATCCATATATTATTGTAACATGTACCTTTTAAATTTTTTTAGAGGAGAGGCTTTACTGCTGCTCATTTTAAACTCATCATTTAAATTTTATGTATCTGAAAAATAATCCCTTCGGGCTTACACGTTTTACTTATTTGGGCCAATTAAAAATAAAATATAGTGAACGCAAAGAAATTAAAGATTTCCACATGCCGGAAATGAAAAATATGAAATATGTATGGGTATTTATGCATGTGCTTGCAAAAAGCATGTATCTGCCTTTCACAAAATACATAAATATTCATTAAATTATTTATAAATGTATTTGAAATGAGGAATTTATTCATTTATAAACAACTGTGAAGAAATCTAATTATTAAATGTATCTAATTTATAATGATTGTATCCGTTATCTAAATATATAATAACCTTAATATTGAATTGTAAACATAAATTGAAATCCTGTTGACAAATACGTTATAAAACTATTTAAGCAAGAATTGTTCGTTCTGGAAAGCAATCTGTTAAAAGGCATTGTAAAGCAAATGCTATGAGATGCACACCTAAGAAAGTAATAAAGAGTTTTGGAATATATATTGTTAAAATTAATGGTTTAAAAAAATCTGATAAGTATAATTAAAATAATTATTTCCCTTACATTTTATAATAACTCAGTGGCAGGTTTTAAATAATACTTTAAAAAAAATCCATATTTTAATCCCTTTCAGAAATGTTCAGAGAAACTTAAGTACTATTTAAAGTATTTCGCTAATTTCTAATAATTTTCTAATTTAAAATGAACCGAATAGAGCATTAATTATAAATTGACTTATATTTTTCGATTTAAAAGATGCCTTAGAAGCCAAAAAATCATGTCATATTTAAGAAAGTATTTTAGGAAGAAGCTCTATAAATAGAAAAGAAATAATGCATAATTTTTAATATTAATAATATAGTTAAACTTTGATCTTAAATTTTGTACCTTAACCGAATAAAATTGAATTACCTTAAATTTTTTTTCTAATGTAATTAACAAAAACTTGTGAAAATATTTCATTCAAATTAAACCATTCTGAGAAAACTGTTCTGCGAAAAGTATAGCATTTACCGTAATTTCCGGAAGAAAGGCCACATCAGCGTAAACGCCGCAATAGATTAAATTGCATGTGACATCGTCGTGGGCCGTATAGATGCAAAAACTCAACCTAAGTCCTGACATACCAGTACTCAAAAATAAATTAAAGGTAAGAAATGTATAGCTTCTGTGCCGTTTAGAGCCATTTTCAAAAATTTTCCGCTCCCTTCTTACTTAAAAACTATCCAACAAGTACTTGTACCCAAACTGATGGGATCTGTATTTGGCAGAATGCCAAGAAAAATCCATTCATGCTGAAGGGGAAATACTTCAGAGTTCCTTATTGCGAGGCAGGTGGAGTCGTGTCCGCCTTTGAAAAAAATTGCAGAAAAGGCAGGGGTGGGGGGAGGATGGTTCTTGGAAGATTCATCGAATAGCAGAGTAGAGAGACTATTCAAACTGATGAGAATGTTGATTTGAAAGGGGGAAGAATGTTATTGTTCTGAGATCTTGTTTATTGTGAATAAGGCATGTAGGTCCGTTCAAGGGAAAGAATGTAAACAAAATAACATTCGCAAAAAGCAACTGAGTGGTCTTTTGTGTAGGAATAGCACCAGTCAATGCACAATGACAAGGCCATCCAAACTATGTACAATGACCATCGTAGGAAATATTTTATTTTTAGTGCACCTAAACGCCGCATGGGTAGAAACGCCACACCCGCTGAAAATTTAAGTTTTAAACACGTAAACGCTGTGGCGTTTCTTCCGGAAATTACGGTAATTCCATTCAGAATGAAATATTGTTTAAAAATATGTTGTTTTCACATACTTAAAACTCTAAAGTGTTGTAGAAAAAGAAAATATATACATTTATATTTATATTTACGACGTAATTGCAAAATATTTACATACAATCGCGTCAAAACCCATTGAATTTAATGGTAAATGACCAAATGTTTTGGTCACCAGTAGGGATCGCCAGTGTTTCAGCAGGGTATGGAAGAAACCTGTTTAGGGCTACTCCATCTTACTTCCTACCTCCATGGGAGGAGCATGTCCCGGCTACGAGCAACATTTTAAAACTTGTCCGAAAATGTTCTATCTGGAGATGTGTTCCTGGAACGTTCAACCAATCAGACGAAAGTTCTGCTTCTGAAGGATCACAGGTAACTTCCAATATGGCGATGGCTCTCACTGTGAAGTCATGGACGGTGGAAATAGAGGCCGATTTAATAATTGCTGTTTTGTTGTATTACAACTGTCTGAGTCATTTTATAAATGTGTATATATTCATTAAATATATAATCGTGGAAATTTCAGAGTTGACAGTATTTTACGACGTTCTTGCAGTTCGGATTTGTTTACAAATTGTTCGTCGCCAAATTTGTCATATTTCTTGCTGATCGTGTATTATCACTGTTATATAATAGAATTTTATTTCTTAAATTTAAGTTGAATAATTTTTTAAAATCCGTTTGTATATGCGTGGCTTTTCTTCTAATTATCTTTTAAATTGTTAATTGCATAATCAGTGACACATTTTAAACAGCATAAAAGATGCATAAAAAAGAAAAGCATAGCTTATGTAATAATGAGAATAAATTTGTCTATTATTTTCATGTTATTAATGAAATACTTTTTGGATTATAAATACATTAGAAACTATACTTTTATTGTAAATGCTACATATTGAAGCATTGGACATTTATGGATTTATTATTATGCATGATGAAAAACATTTGTATATACATTCATTAATATAAATCTAGTCATTACATTAATACTTATAAATAGATATTAACAACTTGCTAAACCATCGCATCTCTCTATCTGTATGTATATATATGAATTATTAGATGTGTAGATATATGTATGTATGAATACAAAAATGAACATTGCCAAGGAGTTTATTTGAAAGTTGCTTTTAATTCAGATAACGATTATGTAATGGCAGCAACTATAGTTATCATTCTTTGCAAGATTATTATGGGTATGTAATAATCAGTTGAAAAATAATTGATGAGTATTTGAGTACTAAAGAGTGTGCACATTTTGTTATTGGGTTAATTCATAATTATATCATATGTATGCTCTACATAATAAAAACATGACTAATAAATAATAAGAAATGTAACAGCTGTGCATTTATAACATTTGATTACTTGAAACAGTGCACAACTGATTATCACCTTCATGTCTGTTTACATAATGAATTGCACTTTCCAATTAAGTGTTTGGGCCTACTAGTGGCCGAAGTGTCGTTGAACACTGGTAGTTCTGTCTCAGGTTAGAATGCCGCGAACGGGCTGGCTACATGACGTTTCCTTGGTTTGCCCCATTTGTAACTGGTATAAGAGCCAGTTTTAAAAAATCTTCTTCAAAGGGATCCTTCCTCTTAGGCAGATATCCCTCGAGGCTTTGCCGTAATCACATAAAACAAACTCATGATGTGCACCACCTAATTTCTAGAGTTGATATAATTAATGTGCTTTAGGTGTATTACCGAGTGTTCTATGGGACAGTAAACAACTCGCACATGTTTGATTGTGCATGTATTCATATGCTTTCAGGGTTCGTAGCGGTCCTTACAAGTGCTTATAAGTCCTTATATTTGAAAATAAAATATAAAGGCCGTTATAGGTGCTTACTTTTTCTTTAAAGCCCTTGTTTTTTTTTTTTTTTTTTTTTTTTTTTTTTTTTTTTTTTTTTTTAGTGCTTATTTTTTGCTTTTAGTGCTTTTTTTAATGAATGCGCGTTTTTCCCCCGTACCAAAGCCGAAACTAAATAAACAGCTTTTCTTCCTTATATGGAACGTCAGGTGGTGAATCATACTCCTGAAAATAGCTTTTCCCCCTTTCTCTGCGTTAACATAAGAGCCCTATCACTTCTTTGGACGCGCGCGCTTACCCGGGACAATTCCGAGAAACGAGATTCTAGTAGCACGGCTTTAAATGGCAGGCTTCCGAGAAATGTTTCATCTAGCTAGGAGGAACCTTTCCCGGCTACGAGCAACATTTTAAAATTTATCCGAAAATGTTCCGGCTCGAGACGTGTTCCTCGAACGTTCAACCAATCAGACGAAAGTTCTGCTTCTGAAGGATCACAAGTAACTTTCAATATGGTGATGGCTCTCACTGTGAAGTGATGGACAGTGGAAATAGAGGCCAATTTAATTATTGCTGTTTTGTTGTAATTGATAAAGACTAACATTAGTAATGGAGACAAATAAATGAGCAGAGATTCATCTAAATTAACATATATTGAAACACAAAATGGCACAAGTACAGTAAATTCTACATGGTAAAGTGAAACAGTGACAACAACTAAAAAAACGTTGCCAAGAGAAAAATATAAAAAGCGTGTAGTCACACATGTTGTAAAATACAAATGGGAAATATAATCACAAATAAAAGTTATTTGCAACACTCCCCCTTGATTAAATTTCCCTCAGTCCTACGCAGAACCTTTGATTGAACAAGGCTTTCTTTTGCACTCTTTGTGAACATGTCTGCTGCATTTGAACTGAAAGGCACATACG